GAGTTCTCTGTAGATCCTAGTTAACAAGCTTTTGTCTGATTCAAAATATGCAAATATTCTTTCCCAATGTATAGGTTGTCTTTTTGCTTTGGTTGTTGCCGCCTTAGCTGTACAGAAGCTTTTCAGTTTCATTTAGTTTATTTGTTTATTTTTGTTGTTGTTGCTGCAATTGCTACAGAAGTCTTCCTCATTATGTCCTTCCCCAGGCCAATAGCTTGCAGTGTTTTCCCCACACTTTCTTTGAGGATATTAATTGTTTCCTGCCTTAGATTTAGGTCTTTTATCCCTCTTGAATCAATTTTTGTGAGTGGAGAAAGGTGTAGGTCCAGTTTCAGTCTTTTAAATGTGGATATCCAGTTCTCCCAACACCACTTATTGAACAGGGATGCTTTCCCCCAGTGTATGTTTTTGTTTGATTTATCAAAGATTAGGTAGCTGTAAGATGTTTGTTTCATTTCCTGGTTTTCTATTCAGTTCCAAATGTCTGTGTCTCTATTTTTGTGATAATACTATGCTGTTTTAATCACTATGGCCTTGTAGTACAGCCTAAAGTCGGGTAGGCTGATGCCCTCGGCTTTGTTTTTATTACTAAGAATTGCCTTGGCTACATGGGTTTTTTTTCTGGTTCTATACAAAGTGAAAGCATCTATGACAAACCCACAGCTAATATTATACTAAATGGATTAAAACTGAAAGCTTTTCCACTCAGGACTAGAATAAGACGAGGGTGTCCTCTGTCACCACTACTATTCAGTATAGTGCTGGAAGTTCTAGCCAATACAATCAGGCAAAAGAAGGAAATTAAGGTATCTAAATGGGGGCAGAGGAAGTGAAACTCTCCTTCTTTGCCCATGATCTGATCTTATACTTAGAGAACCCCAAAGACTCAACTACAAGACTCCTGGAAGTGATCAAAAAATACAGCAACGTTTCAGGATATAAAATCAGTATCCACAGTAACAAACAAGATGGGAAGGAAATCAAGGACACAGTATCCTTTTTAGTAGCTTCAAAGAAAAAGAAATACTGGGGGCGGCGCCTATGGCTTAGTGGGTAGGGTGCCAGCCCCATATATTGAGGGTGGTGGGTTCAAACCCGACCTCGGCCAAACTGCAACAAAAAAATAGCCGGGCGTTGTAGCGGGTGCCTATAGTCCCAGCTACTCAGGAGGTTAAGGCAAGGGAATCACCTAAGCCCAGGAGTTGGAGGTTTCTGTGAGCTGTGTGATGCCATGGCACTCTACTGAGGACAATTAAGTGAAACTCTGTCTCTACCAAAAA